ATTCTCGCAAATTAGTCAAAACACCTCACACAATGAAGCCTGTTACACTGTGCTCAAATAACCCCAAACACTAGACTAGATCCTATCCCCCCAAATAACCCTTATTTACTTACCACAGCCCCTAAGCCACAGACACTAAGAAACTCTACAAGCTCTCTCCACACACACTACACCACTAAAAGGCCTCACCACACACACTACACTACAAGTTCACAGACACATACCCTCACAATCACCCTCTCTCTACATGCAAACCCATACACACAGCTCCACAGGCATAATCCCCACATGCAGCTACTTTTCCACAAACAAAATAATAGAGGCAGACACAGCACCACAACTAATCTACCACACACACACACACACACATACCCCTGAGGGGGAATTAAACTGATATGCCCACTTTGGGAAGTGTTCATGTAATTGATGATGACACAACACACACTCCTCTGTTCTCACCCCCTCCCAAATTAGGCTGCTCTGCTTTTAAATTCCCAGACCAGATTTTGTTCCAGTCTGGCACCGGCCAGGACCTCTGTCCAGCTCAGACTCCTACTCTGATGCATGCCTGTGCTCTTTGTGTGGCAAACTATGTGCCTAGCACCTAGAGATGGAGCTTGGCTGCTGAATGATATGGACACATCAGAGCCAGACAGCATACTCCCCAGGGACCTGATTGCACAGGGCTGAGATGTAAGTATGTAATTGTGATTGCACATATGACTACTGGTATCTGTATTTCTTTGTTTGACTGCCTATGTATGTCTCTCCATGACTGTTTCTGTATGTCTGAGTCTGTATGAATCATGTGATACCTGGCCATTGCTTACTAACCAGCCTCCATATTACAAAACTGATTAAAATCAAAAAAAAAAAAAAAAAATAAAACTAAGTGGGTCCTATACCCATAAGTATTGGGTGGAGGCTTAAGAGTTAAGAGGTGAACCCCCTGTCCAACCAATCAGCATCCCCTCATAGAGATGAATTGAATAAATGCATCTCTATGTGGAAAGTTCAGTGTCTCCATGCAAAGGGTGTGCAGCACTACCCCAGGAAGCACCTCTATCAGCCATGTGAGGAGTGGCCAGTGGAGGTATCCTTAAGCTGTAATGTTAACACTGCCTTTTCTCTGACAAAAAAAACATACAATAAGCTGTAGTTGTTCTGGTGCCTATAGTGTCCCTTTAATAATATCAAAATAGAAACTGAACCATTTCCTATATCTTTCCTGGAATAGTTAGATAGTAGAAAAGAAAATATGTCAAAGCAGAAGACAAACCCAATGATTGAATCAAAAACTCCCATAACAAAAAGCAATAAAGAATAGCTGGAAACTATCTGTCTAAACTAAGGGCATGACTTGCTAGCTGAGAGTGATTTGCTGATGGACTGCATGACTTAGCTCAATAGAGCTAACAGAAGCTCATGCTTAGGAACTTCTGAAGTTGTGGAAGAGGGTTCAAAAACAGATTCTAAATGGTTTGACTTAGTTTTTTTCTTTTTTTGCACAATTCCTTAAGACCCTTATGTAGTGGCTACATCCAGAGTTTATACCTAATTTAACCAGCAAATGTTTTTCACTTTACTGTGTAGAATATTTAAATTTTGAAAAGAAAAAGAAGCTCCAGTTTTAGAATTAATGAGACAAAACCTCTCTATCTAAGCATCATTGTGATACTGTAGTGAAGTGTGTGTGCGTCATAAATATAATAAGATTATTTTAGTGTCTATTATTGAATTTGATAATTTTGTTTAGCACAAGTTCTAAATGTTATAATTATCTAGATTTAAATTGTTGTGCATAGTTTCCAAGCATTTCTATGGTGTATACCGCATTTTTAATTTTATTACTTAAGAAAACGTATTTGGCTTCCTAACAGAGAAGGAAATGATTTGGAATTCATTATCATCTTAAGTAGCTAAATATTGGGTTACAAATTAACCTGTGTCACCACTCCCTGCTGTTACACTAAAAGATATTATAAATCTTTTCACAGATGGGGGAAAAAGTCTTCTTAGCAATGTCAAGCTGTCAGAACATTGCTGTCAAAATGAACAAGGCTGCATGATCACACTGGTTGCACAATTATGAAAGTACTATTGTAGAACATAAAGGATTTCTTGGTCCCTGAAGTATTTGGTTTCAGCACTGAGCATGATGTGCCAGCCTGCAAATTGTTAAAATCAGTACAGCAGAGTAACTCACAAAATGTACATCATATATTATATATGTTCAACTCACTTTGGAAGAATATATATAACGCATATCTAAGCACCTGGCCATAATTCAGTATTTGATTTTGTATTTTTCTTTTGTACCTGACTGTAAACTTAAGCAGCTTTGTCTCTATTTTTCAGTTGTCCTTTCTTTATAGTTCTTAAAAGAACACTATAGGGTCAGGAACACAAACCACTATCTAGCTCCTCTTACCCTCTTTTGCCTACATAAATATAGTAAAAGCATACTTGCATTCAAGTCTGCAGTTTCTGGCTCTGCCTCTGACCTGCTTGCTGTCTGCTGACATCATCAGAAGGGGTGGTCTGAGTCAATCACAATGCTTCCCCACAGGATTGGCTGAGGCTGTCAATGAGGTAGATTAGGGGAAGAGCCAGCAGAAGTCAAACACAGCCGTTGCCAATCAGCATTCATAGAGGAGAATTGAATAAATGTCTATGAGGAATGTTCAGTGTCTGCATACAGAGGGTGGAGACACTGGATGGCAGTACTGCTCCCTGTGCAGAGCTGCCCCAGGAAGCACCTCTAGTAGCCATATGAGGACTTATCCCTAGACTGTAATGTAAATACAGGTTATTTTTTTTTTTACACAAAAAAGCCTAAAGGGAATAATTATACTCACCTGAACAAATGCAATAAGCTGTAGTTGTTCTGGTGACTATAGTGTCCCTTTAATGATTGCCCCCTCCTCTCCCCCCCTCCCCATACCACTTTTATTTATTATCTATTTTCCTTGTGGCACATTTCAAAATCTGGGCACATCAATTGTGTTCTCCTCTGCCCATGATGTCTGCTATTTTATCTTCTTGCACCCCAGGTAACTTGTGCAGTGGTTATTGAGTAGCCTTGTGGGCCAGTGAGGTAGGTCAAAGACTGCAGAAGTGGACAGAGGCCTTTTGGTATTCACCTTCACATGTACAGATAATTTAGATTCAAACCATGCGCTATGGCATCATTAAAACTATCCAATCATTGCCATGGTGATCTTTGTGCCAAAAGTCAAGACAGGAACATGCAAGGTCTGCATCTGGTCCCCACTCTCTCACCAAAGGTAACAAGAAGGAGGGGGAAATAAACATAATTAAAATTTAAAAAATATTTAAAAAAAAAAAATGATAAAGCTGCACCTTTCTTCAAAATGCTAGCCCCAGCCATATCCCACCTCCCACTACATCACCTACATACACACACACATGCTACATATACAGGTATATGGTTTACCTTGTTCCTTACAAAATTAAGCAATCCACATGCTTCATCGATTGACACTCCAAATTCTGTGCATCAATTTTCTTTGTTTCCTTAAACCCTCTCCTAAGATTCCCTATATTTTTAGTGGTGTTTTATCTCAGCCTTTACTTATTAAGTATGCGTGCTCAACTGAGTACATCCCTATTGATCAGCCACAAACCACTGAGAGTTGAAGTTAATGACATTGATTGTATTGTTACAGTTGCACATGTCAAGAGGTGGACTATAATAGGCAACAAGTGAACAGTCAGTTCTTGAATTTCATGTTTTGGAACCAGGAAAAATGGGCAAGTGAAAAGATTTGAGTGCCTTTGACAAAGAACAAATAGTGATAAGTCTTGTGGGGCAAGTCTTTGCAAAAATGGCAAGCCTTGTGGGGTGTTCCCAGTATGCAGTTTTTATTACCTACCAAAATTATTGCACAGAAGGACAACCAGTGAACTGGCATCAGAGTCATGGATGCCGAAGGCTAATTGATGTTCGTGGTGAGCAAAGGCCATCCCACTTGCTCTGATCACAAAGAAGAGCTACTGTAGCTTAAATCACTTACAGAACACATGCAGTGCATTACAGTTTGCTGCATATGGGGCTGCAAAAAAAAAACACAGAGAGAGGAAGACAAAATGATCTATAAGATTAGGCAGAAAGAGGCTAAACAAGAGCTTCCAAATCACACACAGAAGAGAAAATAGCACAGTCAGTAAAAAAGGGGGATAAAACATTTTTTAGATACATAAATGAGAAAAGAAAAGTAAAACAAGGATTAGTTAGATTAAAAACAAAAGAAGGAAGGTATGTAGAAGAGGATAAAGCTCCAGCTGACTGCCTCAGTGAATATTTTTGTTCTGCATTTACAGATGAAAATGAAGGAAAGGGACCTCAGTTGAGAAAAAGGATAAATGAGTCATTTATTACACGTGAGTTTACAGAGGAAGAGGTTCTATTTCAACTGTCAAAAGTAAAGACAAATAAGTCAATGGGACCTGATTGAATACACCCAAAGCTATTAAAAGAGCTTATTGGTGTACTAGCAAAACCATTAACAGATTTATTTAACCAATCATTGTTAACAGGAGTAGTCCCAGAAGATTGGAAGTTAGCGAATGTTGTGCCCATTTACAAGAAAGGTAATAGGGAGGAGTCGGGCAACTATAGGCCAGTAAGCCTTACTTCAGTAGTGGGGAAAGTGATGGAAACCATGTTAAAGGATAGGATTGTTGAACATCTAAAAACACATGGATTTCAAGATCAGAGACAACATGGGTTTACTTCAGGGAGATCATGCCAAACTAATCTTATTGATTTTTTTGATTGGGTAACTAAAATTATATATCAGGGTGGTGCAGTAGACATTGCTTACCTAGATTTCAGTAAGGCTTTTGACACTGTTGCACATAGAAGGCTTATCAATAAACTGCAATCTTTAAGTTTGGATTCCAATATTGTTGAATGGGTAAGGCAGTGGCTGAGTGACAGGCAACAGAGGGTTGTAGTTAATGGAATATATTCGAAGCTTGGACTTGTCACCAGTGGGGTACCTCAGGGATCTGTATTTGGACCCATTCTCTTTAATATTTTTATTAGTGATATTGCAGAAGGTCTTGATGGTAAGGTATGTCTTTTTGCTGATGATACTAAGACATGTAACAGGGTTGATGTTCCAGGAGGGATAAGCCAAATGGCAAATGATTTAGGTAAACTAGAAAAATGGTCAGAATTGTGGCAACTGACATTTAATGTGGATAAGTGCAAGATAATGCATCTTGGACGTAAAAACCCAAGGGCAGAGTACAGAATATTTGATAGAGTCCTAACCTCAACATATGAGGAAAGGGATTTAGGGGTGATTATTTCTGATGACTTAAAGGTAGGCAGACAATGTAATAGAGCAGCAGGAAATGCTAGCAGAATGCTTGGTTGTATGGGGAGAGGTATTAGCAGTAGAAAGAGGGAAGTGCTCATGACATTGTACAGAACACCGGTGAGACCTCACTTGGAGTATTGTACACAGTACTGGAGACCGTATCTTCAGAAGGATATTGATACCTTAGAGAGGGTTCAGAGAAGGGCTACTAAACTGGTTCATGGATTGCAGGATAAAACTTACCAGGAAAGGTGAAAGGATCTTAACATGTATAGCTTGGAGGAAAGACGAGACAGGGGGGATATGATAGAAACATTTAAATATATAAAGGGAATCAACACAGTAAAGGAGGAGACTATATTTAAAAGAAGAAAAACTACCACAACAAGAGGACATAGTCTTAAATTAGAGGGACAAAGGTTTAAAAATAATATCAGGAAGTATTACTTTACTGAGAGGGTAGTGGATGCATGGAATAACCTTCCAGCTGAAGTGGTAGAAGTTAACACAGTAAAGGAGTTTAAGCATGCGTGGGATAGGCATAAGGCTATCCTAACTATAAGATAAGACTAGGGACTAATTAAAGTATTTAGAAAATTGGGCAGACTAGATGGGCCGAATGGTTCTTATCTGCCGTCACATTCTATGTTTCTATGTTTCTATTAGCAGTAGGCCAGTGAGAGTGTCCATGATGATCCCTGTCCACTGCTGAAAGCTTTTACAATGGGGACATAAGCATCAGAACTAGACCATTGATCAATGAAAGAAGTTTGCCTGGTCTCATGAATCATGTCTTTGTCATGTATTCATCCGCTTATAAAAATGTGGTTAATGACATTTACTGTCCACACAGGAAAAGTTGTGCCGAGCAGCAACCTAATCCACAGAAGGGTTAATGCTGAGCAGCAATTATGCAAATGGAAAACCTGACAACTGCCTTTGGGGTCAAAGGCCGGTTCCAGCCTATCAGATCTAGAGGCCTATCAGTATTTAGACCCAGTTCTCATCCTGCTCAGTGCCCTGTCATGGTTTTTCTTGTGGTTGTCCGAGAGCACGTTATTGATTCTGGTAATTCTGGTTATTTGACTTTGGCATTATTTTTTACTTCCCTGTTTTCTGGCATCCCTGACTCCTAGCTTTTCCTTATCGTTGTGTCTCTTTCTGTTTCCCTTGACCTCGGCTATTCCTGTCTATTCTTTGGTACGTTAGTCTGGCCATTCTAAGGTCCAGTATACGCTACCTATCAGTCCTCTGTGTTACACAATTCTACGTGCTGGATCATTCTGTAATCCTGACAGTCTTCTTTTAGATCAGGTGGATGTCCAGGTGCATGTGCATTGTTTACCAAAGGAAGAGATGGCAGCAGGTTATGAAAAAGGTAGACCAGTGGAGGCAGTGTCATGTTCTGATAAACCTTGGGTCCTTGCATTCATGTAGATGTTACTTTGACATATACCACCTACATAGTGATTATTGCAGAACACATAAACCACTTTCATAGCAGGTGTTCTTTGATGGCAGTGGCCTTTGCAATAGGAAAATGCACTCTGCATATTGCAAAAATGTTGCCTTGGCCTTCAAATTTCCCAGATTTCAATCTGATTGGGCATCTGTGGTATGTGCTGCAACAACAAATCTGATCTATGGATGCCCCTTGCAACTTGCAGGACTTAAAGGATCTGCTGCTAATGTCTTGGAGCCAGATACCACAGGGCACATTCAGAGGTTTTGTGGAGCCAATGACTCAATGCATCAGAGCCGTTCTGGCAGTAAGAGGGGAACCTATGCAACATTAGGCAGGTGGTTTTAATGTTGTGGCTGATCAATGTATGTATATACACACAAACACACACACGCAATTTCTTGCTTCTTGTTCTTTGTGCCAAATTTTGTGTATGTCATTCCAGGATTAACTTCACCGATAGTAAAGGACTGTGCACAAATCAGGAATATGGTCCAAGACAATCTACTGATTAAAAAAAATGACACGATTTAAGCTCCTCATAGAGCCTTCAATAGGCTGACATTTGCAACAAAATTAAGAATATATATAGCTGCTCTGTTAAAATAAGAGGGTGCATATGTCCCAACATATGACCTCAGGAAATCGGGGGCCGCTGAAGCGACCACATTACCAATAAAGCAACCAGCGTCACTAGCGACACTCATAGTGGACAAACCTGCCCAGAAACGTGTCAGTGCCACCCACTGACAGTCTTCTGGCCTGCCTTTTAGAACCATGCAGAGAGCACTGCTGACATGTTCCTTGCATGATCTTAGTGCATGTCAGGATTACAAATTGATCCAGCACGGAGAACTGTGTCACACCTAGGACTAAGGATAACGTATAATCGTTCCTTAGAATTGCCGGACTTAATGTATCCAAGAATAGTCAAAATACTAGCCGAGGTCAGGAACACAGAATCAGACACAACAATGAGGGAAAGCCAAAAGTCAAGGATACCAGAATTCAGGGAAGTCAAAACGAAGCCAAAGTCAAAATACCAGAAAATCAAGATCAGGAACACACTCTCGGATTACCATTAGGATGAACCCATGATAGGGCAATGAGCAAAAGGAGAATTGGGTATAAATACCCCTCCTGCACATCCGATTGGCTGTAACCGGCCTTTGACCCCAAAAGCAATTACCAGGTTTCCATGTGCATGATTGCTGCTCAGCACAAACCCTCCTGTGGATCTGATTGGCCATGACCGGCCTTTGACCCCAAAATAAATTACCAGGTTTATGTGCATAATTTCTGCTCGGCACAACTTTTCCTGTCAGGATGGTAATGCTGCTTGGCACAACTTTTCCTGTCAGGATGGTAAATGCCATTAACCACATTTTTATGGGCGGATGAATACGTGACACACGTCTCTTTTCAGCCTATATAACTATGCAATGGCAGCATTGTAGCATGACTGTGTACTACCAAATCAATTACAAACTCACAAAAATCAAAGGGACTCCCCATTGCACCCTATTATATATATATATATATATATATATATATAAAACACAAGATCCAGCGCACTCACCTATCCACTAAACAGCAACTTCAGTGTTGAAAGATTTTATTTGTTTTTTTAAAAACACCTTATCTAGGCAAAAATAATGGGGGTTTAGTTACATTATATGATCATACATTGCATAAGCCTGCCACAACGTCAAGCTTTACAGTGCAAGGGAATAAAATGATGTGCTCATACTGTCCTGCCATAGTACACTTCCCTGGTTGCAACAGATGTGGGATACCAGTGCACTAAAGCAGGACAGAGGGACAGTCCCCAAAATCAGGAGGCATGGAGGTGTGAACATATTTAAAGCACCATGCACAAAAACAATTAGGGATGTGTGCAAAACATAGCCATGCTAAAGTATTAGGGCACACAATGATTATATAATTTATCTTCAGTACAATCCACAACTTATAAAATATACAGAAAAATAGGGGGGCAGGGCCTGACTGCTGACAGGATCAGACGTGATCTGTCTGAGCTCCCACATCAGAGCCTAAAAGTCGGGGCTAACTGGAAGCCAAACGCAGCCAATGACCCACATTGGTGACCACATAGTTACATAGTTACATAGCTGAAAAGAGACTTGCGTCCATCAAGTTCAGCCTTCCTCACATTTGTTTTTTGCTGTTGATCCAAAAGAAGGCAAAAAACCCAGTTTGAAGCACAATTGTGCAACAAGCTAGGAAAAAAATTCCTTCTTGACCACAGAATGGCACAGTGATCTCCAGCTGACGGGGATACTCTTAAGACCCTGCCAGGCATCGAAATAACCCGACAGAGGCCCGAGGCCTTCAGGAGCTTGAGCTGGGATGAGACAGCCGCTCTCCCAGGTCTCCGACCAGCATCTCGCTCTCGGTCTCCACTGGCAGCTACTACTGCTTCAATCTGGGCCCAAACAACCGCCCTGTCGCAGAACAATCACTGGGCAGTTCTCCTCAAGAGGGCCGCCGCAAGTCAGCCATGTGCGCGACTTACTAGCAAGATCAAGCCTAACATAGAGGAGACCACCCTGTACAGACTGACCACCATTACAGACTGCCCCAGGATTATGCCAACTGACAACACTGTGAAGCTCAAGGTACAGGCTACCGTCAATAAGCAGAGAAAAATGGGGTGGAAAAAGAGCAGGACACCCCTGGACACTCTTTATAACGTGGACTCACTGCTATACTTGGGGGGCCTGTTCAGCCTGCAGTCCACCGGGGAGGAGAACCTGGAAATGAGGCTCTCGATTTGGAAGAGCCGTCACCACAGACAGCGCCATCACACCCGGATACCTTACAGCCCCCAACCAGGGGAGACCTCTACCTCATACATGTGGGTACAACCTCGTGAATTCCAGGTGCGGGACTTCACAACAACCAGAGGCTATAACCATGAATCAGCTGAACTCTGCTTCCCGCGGATGTGTAACTGTTTCAGCATGCTACCAAGTCGGGGTATCGGATGAGCTGAGACCTGCAACCAAGCGCAACATGATGGACTATCCCACAAGCCCTCAGACACCTATCTGCACACACAGACCCACCGACGCAACACAACACAGAACAGGCACACACCGATGACACACAGGTATCCACACACTGGCATAAATAGTCATACCTAAATCATTAGCACCTCAAGACATGACAGTCAGGGAGAGTAACTGCCGACCTCACACACAGTACGACATGACACCCATGGTTTTCCAAACATCTGGTCCAAACAAACACCCTAAACAAACATAAACCAATAAAGCATTGACACTGATGGGCCAAACTGTTTAGCAAATACAGGTACCTCCTGACAGGCACCACAGATATCTGGCAGAATGCAAATAACACACATTAACCTGCATATTCTTCTTTAAGTTGTACTGAATAACCTAACATATCTTGACCTGCAAAATTAATGTTTTACCTACTCTGTGTTCTGACTACTCAAGCCTGTCGTTATTGCACAAAAATGTATGTCCCTCACTTATTCATATTTAAGCATAATTATATCCATGCCTAGATATTTATGCAATGACACTCTGCATAATAAGCAGGATTTAAACATGTCCCCTAAGCATGTTACCTTAAGGGCTATAGGATAACCTAATTGTAAAGTTGCAAACCACAGAGACATATGGGTTTTTTGTGTAACCATACTTTTCCCTTCATAATATAAAATGTGCACTGTTCATGTCACACAATTGTTACAATCTATGTGATGTTATGCATGCACCAGCTGTTGTGGCAGTGCAATCTTGTTTATCTAACCTATGCACGAATAAAATAAAGAATTTAAAATAAAAAATATACAGAAAAATTCATATTTATACAGTATCAGTATGTCACATTAAATGTTTAAACAGTACACTAATAAATAGGAAAATACAGTTTTTAATATTAATTTGTGTAGAAATTGTCATCTCATCTAATCATGTGACTGCAATAACACAAAATAATGCTATTAGTATTCATTGAATATTCAATTATATTCAAAGTCTAAAAAGAATACAACTGAAAAATAAGTCTGCAAAGTATCTAGATAAAAAGGGAACAAAGATAAAAGTGATTTTAAAAAGTGCATATGTCGTCAGTGCAAAGTATTATGTGGTGAAATTGCACAAAAAATACACTAAAAGTGCATAATAAAGTGCATATAATCCAAATAATTTGAAAGTGTATCATAAAGACAGGTGAAATTTTATGTAGAAAAATGCAAAGTAATGCACTTTGGGGTAAAGAAAGCAAATTATGTCCTAAATAGTAGTGAATAAGGGATAACAACACACAATGAAGGATTTGGGCACCTAAAGAAGGATATTATGGCACTAGAAAAAGTGAAGAGGCAGGCTACAAAATTAATGAAAGGGATAGAACATTTTACATATGAAGAAACAGTCATCTGAGGTCTCCAATTAGATTTATTTTGTTGTTCTACAGCTGAGAAGGTAACTGGAATTTGCCACTCGTGAAGGAGGGGACTGCCATCTTCAGGGTTATGAGGTGAATTTAATCTTTGCCGCTCCATGCCATTGCGCTTCACTATAAGATGTGTCGGGTAGCCCCATTTGTACATCACTCCTGCCTCTCGTAATGCCTTTGTAATAAGTGCAAACCCTTTGCACTTTTGCAATGTTGCTGAAGGTAAATCCATAAATATTTTCACTCCTGCAAATTTTCCAAGTAAGTTTTCCATTTTCCTTGAAGCTTGCATTATTCGCTCTTTGGCTATCAATAGTGTAATTTTATGATAAAATCTCTTGAAACCAAGACAGGTAGATTTTTGGGCTTTGGTAAACAATTTGCCCTCTCTATTAATAGATCATGTTCTGTTAGCTCAGGAACCAAGGTTTGGAATAATGCCAAAATATAAGCTTGCAATTCTTGTGGTTTAATTTTTTCTGTAACGCATGGTAGGTGTATATTATTTCGATGTTCCCAATCTTCATGATCTGCTACTATATATTTAAGTGCTTCCAGCTTATTTTCCAGCTCTCTGTGGGATTCTGTTAAGAAGTTATGCACCTCAAAAAGCTCCTCTACTTTCTCCTGCAGTCAGGCAGTATGATCCCCTATCTCCTGGATGTCAGCATTCATATCCCCAGCCATCTTGGCAAAGTCTATATGGAGAGAGGTTCTGAGTTCTTGTAGCATTTTTTGTATTGAGTGATCTGTTGATGGTTTTGTTATGGATGTTGGAGCTTGAGCCAGCAATGAGATCGATGTACACTTACTCTTATTTGAAACCATTGAAGCCAGTGAAACAGATGACACAGGTGATTCAGGCTACTCTGAACTAATTTTTGTATCTGCTTCCACGTTTACCTGATTCTGTGAGTGCACTGACATCTATGGAGTAATCGTCTGCTTAGTCTTTTGGAAGATTTGCTCGGCATTGTGGCAGCGCCGTGTACACCGATGATCATTGCTTTTTCCCAGCTTTTTTCCTGCTTTTTCTATGCTTTTTGGAGTTGATGTTTGAGCTCAATATGCTTAGCTGCTTGCTGCTCCTACACCTCTCCCAAAACTTCTTGCTCACGCATTCGTCGCCGTGAGCATCCTAACCCCGCCCCCCCACCATTTTTCAAATGTTGTGGTTTTATCCTTCCTGGCTTAATCTTACAGTGCCTGCTACCTTCGCAGACACACTTGGGAGAAGATAAGGCATTTTTTTTCCCACATAAAGAAAAAGTCACTGTCAGGGGTCTGGTCAGGAAAGGGTACTGACCAGTACAGCAACCTCTACAGGGTGGAACCCAGTATGCAAATAAACCAATATACACACAAATCAAGGCTAAAAATAAGTATTGATATTTACAAGAAAGACAGTAAAATAAAATACAAACACAGAAAACTGAATGTAGGAGAAGGACATCTGGAGACAGGGAACTCAGGAAATGCCTCTGGATACAGGGAACTGTTTGTCTTAGGATTGATGGTTGTCATCATGATCACATAATTTTGTGTTGCAATGATGGCTTCAATCATTATGTAATTATTATTATTATTATTTATATAGCACCATCAGATTCAGTAGCGCTGTACAACGGGTAGACTAACAGACATGTAATTGTAACAAGACAACTGGACGTACAGGAACAAAGAGGTGATGGGACCTGCTCAATGAACTTACATTCTAGAGGGAGTGGGGTATAGTGACACAAAGGGACATACTTGTGTATTAGGGAGGATAGGTAGGTTGAAGCAGCATTATGTAAGGACTTGTAAGTAAGCACCAGAATTTTAAATTGAGCCCTATATCTAACTGGAAGTCAATGCAGGGACTGACAGAGTGGGGAGGCATGGGAGGTGCGAGCAGACAGGAAAATGAGCCTCGCTGCCGCATTCATTATAGATTGCAGCGTTGCAATCTGGGAACACATAAGATTACTGAGAAGGTAATTGCAGTACTCAAGGCAAGAGAGATCAACACCATGGACCAGCACCTTAGCCGCATCTGGCGTTAAATAAGGGCAGATGCGCACTATGTTTTTAAGATGGAAGCGACAGGATTTGGCGATTGATTGGACATGAGGGGTGAAGGAGAGGTTGGAGTCAAAAAAGAACACCCAGGCAGTAAGCCTGCGAGGTAGAGGTGATGGTAGCGCCGTTGACTTGGAGGGAGACAGACATGGGAGTAGAAACACTTCAGGGAGGAAAAACCAGAAGTTCTGGTTTGGACAGGTTGAATTTAAGGAAGTGAGCAGGCATCCAGTTGGAAATCACAGAGACAGGTAGATTTGTGTGTCATCTGCATAGAAATGATAGCGGAAGCCAAAGGAGCTGATGAGTTTACCAAGGGATGCGGTATAGATAGAGAAAAGAAGGGGAACAAAGACAGAGGCTTGGGGGACGCCGACAGAAAGTAGTTGGGGGGGGAGAGGCAGAGTCAGAGAAAGAAACACTAAAAGAGCGCTGGGAGCACCAGGAGGAGGAGCACCAGGAAAGAGCAGTATCACGTAGACCAAAATTATGGAGAATGCGGAGAAGCTGTTGATGATCAACAGTGTCAAAGGCAGCAGAAATTTCAAGGAGACTTAGGAAAGAGTAATGGCCGTGAGATTTAGCAGCAATTAAATTGTTGGATACTTTGGTCACAGCCGTTTCGACAGAATGACCAGTGCAGAATCCAGACTGAAGGGGGTCAAACAGAGTGTTGGATTCGAGAAAGTCAGTCAGTCTGGTGTACCCAACTCTCTCAAGGATTTTGGAGGTAAATGACAGTAGCGAGATAGGGCGGTAGTTGGATGGGGAGATGGGGTCCAGTCTGGGCGTTTCAAGAATTGGGGTTACAGTTGTTTGAAGGGTGAGGGAAATGTGCCAGAGGAAAGGGAGAGATTGAAAATTTTAGTGAGAGGAAGAGCAAGAGAGGGAGACAAAGTGCAGATGAGATACGAGGTAATAGGATCTAGGGAGCAGGTGGTGGGGTGGGAGGACCATAGCAGAGCAGAAACCTCTTCTGCTGTAGCAGGTGTGAATGAGTGTAGAATGGTAGAGGGAGTGGGGTTGGGTGATATATTTGTAGGGGAAGGAGATAAATTAGAGATCTCTTCTCTGATTGTAGAGATCTTCTCAGTGAAGTGAGATGCAAAGTTTGTGGCGGACAAGGTGGTAGAAGGAGGGGGAGTAAAAGGGCGAAGAAGAGCATTGAAAGTGTGAAATAGGTGTTTGGGTTGATGGACAGTGTACTTATGAGGGTGTTAAAGTAATTTACTTTTGCAGTGGAAAGAGCCAGGCTGTAGGAGTGAAGCATAAATGTATAGTTCTAGACCATATTTGGAGGTAACAGGTCAGCTTTGTGTGCCATGGTTATAATTGGGGGTGCTTGCTGCGTTTAATTGTAGGAGGTGCCATGATGTCGAGTTGAGAG